CCCGTTTCTTTGCCACCCGACAGGACAAGAAGGAATTGGTGGACTTTGTCCAAGAGTTAAGACTCTCATTGCCGGGATGGTAGCCGATCCTCTACCCGAGGGGGTCGCAGTAACCGTCTTATGGAGGGCCTCAGCACTGGCGTAGCCAGAATGGAAGTCTTCCGTGTGCATCCGTCTTCTTTGAAGAAGCAGTGAATGTGGCATTGAATGCCGAATTCAACTCCAAGTCGGCACGACTTGGTTGTAATGTACATCATCAGAGATCGTAGAGCGGCCCTGAGCCGATGGATCTTAGCCATGCTGAGAATGAGGGGAGAGTGCTCCGATCTGTCGAATAGAATAACCCCCCAGACAATGTTTGGCTGTGAAGACATCTGTCATATTCGGACTGGTTGTCCCCTGCGCAAGGCGCGTCAAGGTGAAGCAAACCGACGTCCCACTTTTAACCAGTCTGGTTTGTCGCGGGAAAACGACAACATCCAAAAGGCGCGGGGTGTCTGACTGGGAATGAATTGAGTTCTATTGTATCCAAAGAGGTTGAGGTCAGCAGGCCCCAGTCCCGGAGAGCTCCGTGCTCTTGAACACGGAACGTTTATGCAATCCGGGCTTGCTGGTCGTAAAGCGACCGTGAAAGGCTTTGAGACGCCATAGAAGATTCTAATCGATTCCAGGGCTTCGGTTTTTATCCTCGAAGCTCTACGATTGAAGGATGTCAGCAGTATGCTGAGGAGCCGGAAGCGCGGTTAAGTGACACCGTCACTGTTTGCTTAGCGACGGGGACTTCTGTCACGGTTCCTAGGCTCCCTGTGGACCTCAGTGTCAAGTTTCTTGACTTTGATAGCGTGGAATGCAACATAGTCTTAAACTTGGATTCAAGGTATGACCTTATCCTGGGTATGACATGGTTGGAACAACATGAGCCATGGATTGATTGGAGGTCAAAGACCTTGGGCGCTACGCGCACGTCTCCTGGTTGAAATTTGGTGACTCATGAACCCACCTCTGCTTGGAAGCAGAAACGTTATTGGCACGGGCACTGGACTGGGACGGTCAATGTGCTGAATAACGGAGTATCCGAGCCGTCGGACACCGAAGGTGTATAGGACAAGAGCTTCGATCATGGCTCGCGGTCTGAACTGGAGTGGCACGTAACCCACTGAGCGCTTCTTAAGTATTAAAACAGTCGCTGCATGCCAAGTGGTGCATGGTCGAACGAGGTCCGAAGCATCGACGGCGAGGCCCCAGTGATGCGCGTGGAGTGGCACGTTACCCACTGAACGAAGACTACGGAAATAGCAGCACTTCGTCGGATGTAGTTAATAACATCAAGGCTCCTACGGAGCAAGGGGGTAGGGACACTGGACGACGTTGCGTACGTGTTACCTCTAGACTTAAAAATTCTACGGAGAGGAGACGGCGATGCCGTATGATATCTAAACGACACAGGCGTCGACCCTGATCCAGGGTGTGTCTACCAGACGATAGCGCACAGGATACACCCTAGTCAGCGGTATGACGGGAGAGGAAACGGCTATGTCACCCTCAAGGATATTCCCGCGGTGAATGCTCTTCTTGAGCTGGACGAAATGTCTCTTAAAGGGTTTGGCGGTGTCTTGAAGAAAGGTGATTTAGAACATTTAAAAATGAAAAAGGGCATTAAAAAATGAGAAATTTCTTATATGTATAGATTGACAATTCTTGTTTAATTCGGATTTTTCATTAAATTTTAAGATTATAAGTAAAAATTATAAGATAATTCAGATAGAAATTGGTGAAAAATTAAAGATACTTTAGATAGAAATTATAATTTCTAATTTTTCTTTTCTATATTAGCTAAGGCTGTTAACTCGTCGTCGCTTCTGAATGAAGCTATCCTGGAGGGCACCAAGAGGGTGCTGAACACACGAAGTGGATCGTCGATCCTAAGGGATCCCAAGGATCCTGACTATCCTTTGAAAATAGAATTTTGAGACGCCGTCTTCAAAGATCCGCCGTCGGATCTATCTCGGAACCGAGGTGGGCGTGATGAGATTGACCTGGCTCCGGAAAAAAATTCTGTTTACATGCCAATGGCCCCGGCCAAAGGAGCAGTGTGACGGCATTGACGTCTTCTTCCGTGCGATGCGCGACGCAGGAATGATGCGTGAGAGCAAGTCTTCTCATTCGCCCCCCACGTTTTGTGTCCGGAAGCCGAACAGCAAGTGGCGTATTGTTCACGTTTACAATAAGCTAGATGCTGCCACCATTCCGGCACGGACGCCAATTTCAATATGGTTGGCTGTATAAAGTACAGCGCACTTGACTAGGTCGATGGGTATTTACAATTGCTTATCAGAGCGAGTGATATTCTGCTGACAGCGATGGGTATCCGAGCGGGATGATTTCAGAGTGGCTGGTAATATCTTATTGGCTGTTAAATGTATCAGAAACATTTAATCGTCCTGCAACCCAATTGTTCAGGCCCCACCGGACGTATGCACAAACATACCTTGACGACATTTTTGTTACAGTCGCGCGGGGCATGGGAGGTTAGATGAGGAAACCACATCTTTTATTTGTGAGCGGTGCTCAGTGCATACGCACGAATAAGCTGTATGCTTACGCTGATAAGTACATCTTCGGCGCGGAGGAAATCCTCTTTCTTAGGGTGTTTCATTGGGAACCGTGGCTTTCAAGCGGAACGCGCTAAGGCCAAGGCCATAGTAGACTGGTCGATTCCAAAGAACCAAAAGGGCTTGCACAAGTATAGCGCAAACTATGCAGAAATGGCACGGCCATTGTCGAATCCCCTTAGGAAGGATACGGAATGGTTTCGGGACACCGAGCATCGGGAGACTTTTGACAGGTCAAAGACAGCCTTCCTTATGCACCAATACTGGCGTTGCCAGACGCCGATCGTCCTTTTGATGTTGTCTGTGTCTTTTCGGACTCTGCTATCAGCTGTGCACTGCTGCAAGCAGACGCCAAGGGGCGAAATCGGGTGATCGCGTTCGAATCATGCCAGCTTAAGGCTGCGGAGAACAACTACCCAATCCACGACAAGGACTTATTTGCGATGAAGCGTGCAATTGTCAAGTTCAGGGTGCACCTGCTTGACTCAAAGCCGTTTGTGATCGACACAGATCATGCGTCATTACGCACAGCGAATCAGTCGCCTCATCTTTCGCAGAGGATAGCCAGGTGGCTCTCATTCTTCGCAGAATATAACTTCGAGGTGAAATATAAGCCAGGAAAGCAGAATGCTTTGGCTGATGCGT